CAAAATGTTGAAATCTTTACTTAATATATATTAAATTGATCTTCTGTATATAACGATAATTGAAAATGAATCTTGATGTGAATGGGATGGGAGAGGGAGCGGGAGATGGGAGGGTTGCAGGGGGAGGGAAGTTATGGGGAGGTGGGGAAGCCACTGTAAACCAAAAGCTGTACTTTGGAAATTTATATTTATTAAATAAAAGTTAAAAAATAAATAAACATAACAGTTTGCTATTCAAAAAATAAATTAATAAAAATAAAAATCCCAAGATGAAAATTAAAAAAAAAAAAGCTTAAGTATGTCCCAATACTTGGATGTTTTCTTTGTTATTCAAAAATAAACAAACAAGGTCTCTTTTGTAGCCCCAACAGTATTCCTGCAATCAGTTTCAACTTTACTAATAGCTTTTGCTTGAAAGCCTCAAACAGGGGCTCGACCCCTGAATCAAAAAGGCTGTCTATTCAACAAACTGAGGCATGTAAGAATAGAATGAAACTGTGTTAAGTCATTACCCAAATTCCTAAGTTACCTTTTCCAAATGCCTCAAGCATAATAAATGCAACCCTACAAAGCCCCAGAGTCCTTCATAGGTACCACCATCATCATCCCTCAGTAGGAACTCTGGGAGACACCACAAAATATGCACATTTGTGGGATCTTCTCTCATGGAATTGTGGTGGGTGTGTGTTGTGGTTTGAGTCTCCTTATGACTAAATGTAATGGCTCGCCTGTTTACCATCTCATTTCTTCTTAGGGTCTGAGTGGCTATGAAACATTGCTCTGAGGATCACTTGGTGGGTTTTGGTTTTTGGTGTTAACCAGTGTACCAGTTTTTTCAGAAATGTAGCAGCCAAAGAGGAAAAAAAGAAAAAGAAAGAAAGAAAGAAAAGCTGCAGGGGGAAAAGCTTGAGAAAAAATGCAAGAAGTCTAACCTGAGATCCTACCTCTCAGCCCTGGAGGGCAAATCATTTCCCCGTAATAAAAGTAGGGTGGAGATTTAAAAAAAAAAAAAAAAAAGTAGGGTGGAGCCTGGATTCTTTACTTAATCCTAGTTCCTTCCAAGAGTAGTGAAATGGGGGTCAAGGCCTGAAGCTGCTTCGGCACGTCCACTTCCACCCCTGGACTCCGAAAGACGCAGCCACTGTGGCCCTGGGGAGCAGCGGATGCCAAGGTGTGTCAGGCCAGCCAGCTGACCATAAGCTGTGCTTGTAACACTAATGGTTGCTTGTCTTCATGCTGAAAATATGCACCTCCTGGGACCTCATCTCTCTGGGTCAGATGTGTGTGATGCGATTTACATTATGGAATGCAGGAGGCGTGTGCGTGCAAGCATTCTGATCCAGGAATGAGGTTTCTATTATGCACATGATCTGCACTGCCTTTTGAGGTGACCTTCATATGTTGTTTTTTTTCCTTTTTAATTTTGGACTTATTTTAGGGCAATTCATTTCCTATCAAGCTGTAAGTTCAGAATGTCTGCATGAAAGATAACTGTGCTACAGTTACCAAAATGTTCCGGAGCCCAATTTCAAAGGCCCCCTTTTTCCTTTGGTCCAGGAGCCCTTGGCCTTGGAACCCAGGAAGGACTATTGTGTGAGTTACAGTGAGGAAGGGATGCATCCGCCTTGGCACCCACCCTCTGGTCAGTCACGTCCTGTTCAGTGGTGTGTGGGTGCATGTGTATCATGTGTATGGATTCCAAGGTTCCCAAAGAGATGAGCCAGGACTCAGGGATCATCAGTGATGTATCTGCCAGAACTAACTACTTGTACATTTTTTACTTCCTCCTGAGGCTGTGTTTAGTACTCGTTTAAGCTTTCTTCACAGGAAGATGGAGCAAGGAACAAGCTAAATTCCTGAGAGGCAGGAAGTCCAATTAGCTTACTTTTCAAGCCTTCACTCCACCACTAACCCCCCTCATAAACTTTGGTGACTTATTTAAACTTTTTGGTCTTGATTTGGGAAAAATTGGTTGATTAAGAAAAGTCTCATAGTTTCTGAGGGGTGTTTGCTTATTATTGGTTGTTGGATCTCTCAGAGAATGTAGTAGGCCCTTTGCTGCCATGACTATTGAATGCTTGTTCCCCCAAATGCTATTATTATATCTTGGACTTATTACATGTATTCTATTTATTGAAAAACACCCTATAGCTTGAAAAACACCCTTCTAGAAGCAAATGCTTTCTCTCGCATGCAGTCCCATGAATTTATAAAAGTGATACAGAATTACACATGTTTAAAGGAGATTTAAAAAGAGCCCCTGTAGGGGTTGGCACTGTGGTATAGTATGCTAAGCCTCTGCCTGAGGCACCAGCATCCCATATGGGTGCTGGTTCGTGTCCCAGCTGTTTCTCTTCCAGTCTAGCTCTCTGCTTAAGTCCAGGGAAGGCAGTGGAGGATGGGTGAGGTGCTTGGGTCCCTGCACCTATGTGGGAAATCTAGAGGAAGCTCCTGGCTCCTGGCTTCTGATCAGCTCAGCTCCAGAAGTTGGGGCCATTTGAGGAGTGAATCAGGGGATGGAAGATCTTTCCTCTATCTCTCCCACTCTGTTTGTAACTCTGCCTCTCATAGAAATAAATCGGTTTATTTTATTTTATTTTAATTTGAAAGTCAGAGTTACACAGAGAGAGGAGTAGCAGAGAGAGAGAGAGAAAGGAGAGGCAAAGAGAGAGAGGTCTCCCATCTGATGCTTCACTCCCCAATTGGCCGCAATGGCTGGAGCTGCGCCAATCCGAAGCCAGGAGCCGGGAGCTTCTTTCAGGTCTCCCATGCAGGTGCAGGAGCCCAAGTACTTGGGCCATCTTCTATTGCTTTCCCAGGCCATGGCAGAGAGTTGGATCGGAAGTGGAGCAACCAGGTCTCGAACCAGTGCCCATATGGGATGCTGGCACTTCAGGCCAGGGCTTTAACCTGTTGTGCCACAGCACCGGCCCCATCATATAAATAAATCTTAAAAAAAAAAAATAAAAATAAAGTTCCCAGTTAGAGATCCGGTTATACCATAAAGGCTTTATATTACAGATAAAAATATTAACTACAAAGATTTTGAGAGGAAAGATATTTATTATAATCAGTAGCTAATCCCATGTCTTTGAGGACCAAAAAACCAGTGTTGAAGATATCGAGTAAAATTCAGAAAAAATGCTCAACCCCATCAGGTGTTGTAGCAAAAACACCTCTGTTGTTGCAGCCAACTGCTTGACTCATAGACACAAAAATGAGCTGCCCTGCACCATCAACACCACTGTGTTTGCTGAAAGGTACTTTCCCTACGTGGGAGCACTACTCACTTGGCTCACTTCCACTTCCAAACAGCACATTGTGGTAGGCAGCATTCTGAGATAGTCCTTAAGATTCCTGCTTCCTGTTGTGTACACCCTGTGCAATACCCACTCCTTGATTGTGAATAAGATATGCAGAGAGGATGGGATATCACTTCCAAGATTATACTCCAGTTTATAACAAAAAGGGATTTTGTAAATGTCATTAAGATCCCAGCAGGACCTGACCATGTAAAACAAGCCACAGGGGCTGGCGCTATGGTGCAGTGGGTTAATGCCCTGGCCTGAAGCACTGGCATCCCATATGGGCACCTGCTCCGGCTGCTCCACTTCCAATCCAGCTCTCTACTATGGCCTGGGAAAGAAGTAGAAGATGACCCAAGTCCTTGGGCCTCTGCACCCACGTGGGAGACCTGGAAGAAGCTCCTGGCTCCTGGCTTTGGTCGTTGTGGCCAAATGGGGAATGAACCATAAGATGGAAGACCTCTCTCTCTCTGCCTCTCCTCTCTCTGTATAATTCTGACTTTCAAATAAATAAAAAAATGAATATTTTTTAAAAATAAAAAAGCCTCAGATTCCAGCTTCTTGCTAATACGCACTCCAAAGGGAGCAGGTGATGGCTCAAGTAGTTGGGTCCCCTCCACCCACGTGGGAGACTGGATTGAGATCTGAGCTCCTGGCTTCAGTCTGGGCAATCCCTGGCTGCTCCAAGCATAGGGAGAGTGAACCAACAGATGAAAGATCTCTCTCTTCCTCTCTCTCTCTCCCTCCCCCCCTCTTTATTTTTCAAATAGCTAAAAATTCTTAAACAAAATTTCTTCATAGAATAAACATTTTTTAGGAGATTATTGCTACTCCAGGAAAGGTCTCTATAAAGGGGTTTCTTGATAATAGGGGCTTGTGGCCTATGGTTCTACCACTGTTGAACATATTGATGATATTCTCAGTGGTTTGCTCATTAAGAATTGAAGTCCTGGGGCTGACACTGTGGCATAGTCTGCTAAGCCTCCATCTGTGGAGCTGGCATCCCATATGGGCGCTGGTTCTAATCCTGGATTCTCTTTTTCTCATCCAGCTCTCTGCTATGGCCTGGGAAAGCAGTAGAAGATGGCCCAAAGTGATGGGGCCCCTGCACCCACATGGGAGACCTGGAAGAAGATCCTGGCTCCTAGTTTCCAATCGGCTCAGCTCTGGCCGTTGAAGCCATTTTGGGGAGTGAACCAGTGGATGGAAGATCTTTCTCTCTGTTACTCCCCCTCTCCGTAACTCTACCTCTCAAACAAATAAATAAAATTTTTAAAAAAGACTAAAACTCTCAATAAAATAGAGCTAATAAGAGATGGATTTTGAAAAAATTCTTCCAGAAGGGAAGTTCTGTTAAAACAAATTTTGTGTGTTTGATAATATACTACTATTTCTAGGTACTGTAAGAGGAGAGAGATCTCATTGTGTCCCAGGAAAACAAGAACATTTTCTGATTAAATCTCAGTTTCCATTCCTACAGCTATGCCATCTGCCTGGACCATGTACAGCACACCGTCCTCCCCACACTAAAGTTATTCAAGTAACTTTGAACCACCTCCCTTGCCTTACGAATACTCCCTGACCCATCTTCCTCTCATCTCAGAGCCACCAGTGGTGCAGAGCAGTAAACAGTGAGGATAACATTTAAGAAATTGTGGTCTCCAAAAATAAAACAAAAAGCCCCATTTGCTTTACCTCACGTTGTAATTCCCCGCACTTGTTCATCTTGGTCAATCTTGAGCCAAGCATTTTTCTCTTTGGGAGGCTAAGCAACATCTTTACGAAACAATACTTTGTGGGTTTTCCCAGGTGCCTGTTATTTCTTGCACAGTACCTTGTAGCAGTTCCTTAATTTTTGTAGTGTTGAAAGTGAGCGAAGTGACTTCAGAAAGCGTTGTCTGTTTTTGTTTGATTCTCGCAGGAACCCACGGGGGGGAGCAGTGGAAGTGATGTCATTTCCAGTTTATACAGAACAGAAACTTTCATTTTCAGAGTTTCATAACTGGCCTACACCATGGTAAACTGTGATGCTGAGATTAGAATCCAGGTCTTCCAACTGTAAGTTACTCGCCAATTGCGTCCCCAGACTCCTGTCCTTGCAGAGACACAGCAGTGAAAAGATGGGAGTAAACAGGCAAGAGGTAATTGCTTCCTACTGTTCTCTGCTCTTGCCCAAACCAATCTCTTCCACACTCATAAAATGTGCACAACCGTGGTTGACACGGCAAGTGCAATTTCCCAAGCATAAATCAGGAAACTGCCTACCTCCTAAGGATTACCCTTTATCCTCCAGTCCTCCGGGAACCTCCCATTTCATATAGTCTGTTTGTCATTCCTCATTGCTTCTGCCTAGACTTGCCACTGTCTGTCTAATTTTCTTTTTTCCTTTTTTTTTCTTTTTTTTGTCTGAGTAGTTGCATTTGGCCCTGGAGACTCTGTCAGATTTTGCAGGCCAGTCAAGATACACCATTTCTGTAACCAGTCTGTTCTGCTCCATATCCCATTATTTACATTTCTGCTAATATGTGTATAACCCTCTGTAGGGTGTCGGCCTGTTGAGGTATCTCATTTATTGCATGGCCTTTGTATTTAATTCATTGCTGAGAAATGTTTGGGCACTGGGATTTTTTAAAAAGGGATGGTACTATTGGCTAGGAGATAAAAATAAACAAAGGTGAGCCTTGGGAGATGTAACCTCCAGATCCAAACTTGCTCTGTTGGGATTAGGACTCTAGGAACAGAATGGAAAAGAGTCCCCTCCTTTTACCCTTTGCTATAAGTTGGTCTGAAGATGGGAGTGGAGCAGGCAGAGGGGATCATGTCCACAATCTTTCAGAAGTCCTGCTGAGGGTCTTGAGATATAGGTACTCCACTGAAATCACACTTCCAAAGGATCTACTCCAAGTCCCATGCCTTTGCGTCCATTGTGGCATTCAAGCCAGCATTCCCCCTGGCTGCCCCATACTATAACACAGCACAGGCGACAATAGGATTAAGACACTGCTCCCTGACACACAACTCCTCTCACAGAACATGTCGACTCCTGGGGCTCAGGGATCACCAATGGCTTGCATGAGACTTTGTCAGAAGTGCTCTGTGGTCTAAGGCTCCTTCCAGATCTATCTTTCCTTACTGCTTTCCTTTCACAGACTTGCATCAAAGTCTGGAGGCAGTCCCTGCCTACTCACGTCCCTCAAGTTCTGTGAATACACAATCTCTAGTTCCTTAAAAATACAGCATCCTGTGGTGGCACTGAGGCATAGTAGGTTACACTACTACTTGGGACACCCACATCCTGTGTCAGAATGCCTGGTTTTGAACCCTCTCTCCACTTTCAATCCAGCTTCCTGCCGATGTCACACTGGGAGACAACACTTGATGGTTCAAGTGATTGAGTCCCTGCCACCATATGGGAGACCCAGGTAGAGTTCTGTGCTCTTAGCTGTTGAGGGTATCTAGAGAGTGAACTAGTAGATGAAAGATCTCTCTCTGTCTCTGCCACTCTGCCCTTCAAATAAATAAATAATATTTCTAGGGGCCGGCACTATGGCGTAGCTGGTAAATCCTCCACCTGTAGTGCAGACATCCCATATGGGTGCTGGTTTGAGTCTCGGCTGCTCCACTTCCAATCCAGCTCTCTGCTGTAGCCTGGGAGAGCAGTGGAAGATGGCCCAAGTCCTTGGGCCCCTGTACCTGTGTTGGAGACCCGGGAGATCCTGGCTCCTGGCTTCAGATAGGCACAGCTCTGGACATTGCAGCCGAATCACCCAAACATGCTAGGCAGTTTCAGTTTTCTCACACAATCTTTGGAGCCACAACTGAACTAATCTATCAACCTGTCCTCTACCACGTGGCAAGTCAATGAAGTAACAATACTTCTGCATCTCAGCACCATAAGCTGTCTCCAAATTTAAACGATGCCCTACTTATTCTAAAGCTAAGTAACAGCATAAAATCAGACTCACATTCTAGCTGGTACCCTTATCTTCCTTGCTTGAGGGAACTCCACAAAATTCACAGAAAGCAGAATTAACATTTTAGCTTATTTTGACTCCAAAACTTTGCGAAATCCATGCTTTCATCATTCCTTCATAATAAGCATTTTAATAACATTTTAAAGACCACTCATGTATGCATTTCAAAATATTCTTACATGAAAAATCTTTTAATTCCATCTTCCATGAACTTTTGAAAATCCCCTCACGTTTCTGAACTTAGTATTAATATAATCCATGATCTTTCCTTCCTTTAGAATAAAATACATGAAAATTCTTGAATTCTTCCAACATAGCTGTAGAAAAACAAGGTTTATATGAACCCTGACAAAACACCAGGCAATAGGAGATGCTCGGGATCAGCACAGTGTCTCTCACTCTTATATAACTCATTGAAAAACATTAAAGAGAATAAATTATGGCCCCTACCTCAGATTTTTATGTAACCCTTGGGAAGGTTTGTGCTCCAGCTTCTGAGACACCAAGGGACCAATCCAGGTCTGTCCTTTCTCAAGTTTCATACTATAGCAAGAGCATATTTCTTTTTTCTATCCTAGCTATAAAAATATGTAATTGTGTTGAATACAGTCTTTTTAAAAACATTTATTTTATTTATTTGAAAGACAGATTGACAAAAAAAAAAAAGGAGAGACAGACAAAGAGATCTTCCATCCACTGGTTCAATCCCCAAATGGCCGAAACATCCAGGGCTGGGCCAGGTCAAAGCCAGGAGCCAGGAACCCCATCCAGGTCTCCCACATGGGAGACAAGAGGCCAAGTGCTTGTGCCACCTTCTGTGCTTTCCCAAGCACATTAGCAGGGAGCTGGATTAGAAATGGAGCAGGTGGGACTCAAACTGGTGCTTCTATATGGGATGCTGGCATCACAAATAGCAGCTTAACATGCTGTACCAAATGCCGGCCTTGAATAAGTTTCTACAAACCACAAACACGCTAGTGAAGATTTTAATATATTCTACCCCATCACTAAATATCATGTAGGTCTCCCCAACATTAGATGGGAATTATTGGTCTGATGCAGCACCTTCAATTTAAAGGTGAAAAAATTAAGGCAATTAATTAAATAATCTTCCCAAGTTCGTAGAATTAATAAACACTGAAATTGATTGTTATATAAATTAATATTAATTAATTTAAAAAATAGACTCCAATATTTTTGATAAGCTATGAATATAATAATCAAAACAATAACTTCTGGGGCTGCATTTTAGTGCAGTGGGTTAAGCCACCATGTTGGACATTGGAGTCCCAGATGAGCACCAATTCAAGTCTTAGTTGCTCAACTTCCAATCCAGCTCCCTGCTAATGTGCTCAGGAAAGCAACAGAAGATGCCAAGTACTTGAGCGCCTGCATCCACATGGGAGACCAGTCTGGAATTCCTGGCTCCTGGCTTCAGCCTGGCCCAGCCTTGGCCATTGTCATCATTTGGGGAAGTGAATGGAAAATCTTTTTCTCTCTCTCTCCCCCTCTTTCTGTTATTTACCCTTTCAAACAAATAAGTAAATCTTCAAAATAATAACTTTTGGGGGCCAGTGCTGTGACGAAGAGGGTAAACCTGCAGTGCCGGTATCTCATATGGGGGCTGATTGGAGTCCCAGCTCCTCCACTTCTGATCTAGCTCCCTACTAATTTGCCTGGGAAGGCAGCAGAAGATGACCCAAGTGTTTAGGCTCTTCCACCCATGTGAGAGATCTGGAAAAAGTCCCTGGCTCCTGGCTTGAGACTGGTCCACCTCTGGCCACTGTGGCCATTTGGGGAATGAACCAATGGATAGAAGATCCCTCTCTCTTTCTCTCTCTCTGTCTCTCCCTCTCTATCTGTAACTCTGCCTTTCAAATAAATAAGTAAACCTTTAATAATAATAATAACTTCTACTTCAAAATGGTAAAATTTGATATTATGTTTCTTATTATATAATTTCATTCTGTCTATTAAGTTCCTATGGACTGTCTTCTACACAGACTCCCACAATGAGCACAGCAGAGAACAAGACATAATTCCTGACCTTAAGGAGTTTCCAAGATTATGGATACCCCAGACAAATAAACAGAGGACTCCAATTTACAAGCAGATTCAGTGATGGGGAAAAACAAAAAACAGAGTGACGCTGAAGCACAGAAGAGAATGAACAAATCAAGCTAATTAGTCATGAAAGCTTCCTGAACAGCCTTCTTACTGCTGAAAAGCCAGGATGCTCCCGAGACAGATCCTGTAACTAGAGAGCCTAGTGGCTCCACAGAATACACTGTTAGGGGCTGGCTCCACGGCTCACAATCCTCTGCCTGCTGCGCCAGCATCCCATATGGTGCCGGGTTCTAGTCCCGGCTGTTCCTCTTCCAGTCCAGCTCTCTGCTGTGGCTCAGGAAGGCAGTGGAGGATGGCCCAAGTGCTTGGGTGCCTGCACCCGCATGGGAGACCAGGAGGAGGCACCTGACTCCTGGCTTCGGATTGGCATAGTTCCGGCCATAGCGGCCATTTGGGGAGTGAACCAACGGAAAAGGAAGACCTTTCTCTCTGTCTCTCTCTCTCACTGTCTGTAACTCTACCTGTCAAATAAATAAATAAAATCTTAAAAAAAAAAAAAGAATACACTGTTATACCTGGTTTATTGGTTAATTCAAAATTTTTCTTTAATTTTAATTTTAATTTATTTAAGGATCAGAGAGAGACAGACCAACACACAGACCATACACACAGACAGAGAGCTCCCATCTGTTAGTTCACTCTTGAAATGCTTGCAGCAGCATAGACTGGGCTGACCTGAAAGACAGGAACTCAACCTAGGTATCTTGTCTGAGTGGCAGGAACCCATGTGCTGGAGCCATCACTGCTGCTTCCTAGACTCTGTATGAACAGGAAGGTGGAGTCAGGAGTCAGAGCCAGGGTCAAATCCAAATACTGAGAAGTGGGACACAGGCTTTCTACCCAAGGTCTTAACCACTATGCCAACCACCAGCCTCCACCCTTAACAAATATTGCTTGCACTTTTACATAACAGTTTTCTTACAAAATACTATAGTCAAATCATTTTTAGAACTTTGTAAACATCTACATGATTGCACTCAATGATATTCTTTGCTTTCAGTTTTCTTTATACTTGATTTTTATTATACTTGATTTTTATTAAACCATATGACACCAAAGAGAGAGAGAAGAAAAGAGGAGGGAAGGGAAGGGAAGGGAAAAGAAAGGGAAAGGGAGAAGGAAACTATTTTTGTTTTAATTCAAAAAGCAATTTTTTCTTTATCATCTGGTCTGCTTCAACTTATGAGAATTTGCTTTCTGGAATGCTTTATATAAATCAAAACAAAACCAGAATTCTGTGGTCTTAGAATAAATAAAGTAAACTCGTTAGTTAAATATCTTCAAATCGGATGTATGGCACGGATTATTTTACTCATAATACAGTGCAAGAATGAAGGTTTTACGACCATCTTGTTACAAGTTCTATAATTTGATCACCCTCCACTGCTTTGACTCCAACTTCCTTACCTCCTCCCCTTCCCATTGGCTTCAGTGCTGGCCTGGACAAGCAGTGTGCCAACATTGCCTTTTCTCAGAATACAAGAATTGTGCCACCCACAGTCCTATGGCTGGAGGCCAGGGCACTGCCAGCAACACAGGCATGAGTCAAGCTGTGGCTTGTGTGCAAATTTCTGGTCTAGGCTCTTTCCTGATAATGCACTTGGAATTGCCATCAGCAGCAGAATGACAGCAAGATGAATGCCACAGGAAAGGAAAACCTGGTGCAACAATTCAGAAAACTCAACTCCCAGTCTGATTATTTTCTAGAGAGATGACTATTAGCATTTCTCCTAATCTGTTCTGTCTACACTGTGGAGTTATCGTAAGACACAGAGTAAGACAAGGAAAACTTCTCTAGGGAGGGAGAAGAGACATTTTCATGTGTCATTAATCACAGCAGAGATTGCAGGACTTTCTGGAGAGTGGTTTAGCAGTAATCATCAAACTTAAAAGTGCTCAGATCTGTGGCCTAGTTATTTCTCTTGTGGAAAGTTAGCCT